GGAAACACTTGTAGATCTCAAGTATTTCCTATCAATCTTCGGAAAACAGCGAGCTTCTTCACAAAAATCAGCACAAAACCACAAAAAACAGTAGATAATTTGTATTATTTGATGAAATAGAAATGTGATCCTCAATTCGAGAGGAGGATTGATCTTTTCCTAAATCTCTAGATGCCGCTAGAGCCCCCCCCCAAAAAAACCCTAAATCTAAGAGATCAAATTTCAGCAAAATTCAAGATGCCCTAACCGTACGAAAAGTCGAAAACAAACTATTTAATGCATATAAATCAAAAGGAAATATCTAAACAATAGCTACATTAATATTTCCCTCCTAACTCCCTCAAAAAAATATACTAAAACAGTTTACGCACGCTGTGCGTGCGTTCGGTGCCTACAGGAGGCAGAGAAATTTGCCTCTGTTAGCACGTGGGCTGGTCCTGTCGGACCGGCTGGATCGGTCCAATGGACCGGTCTAATAATACTCCCCTCCCAAAGATCCATCTTGTACGCAAGGTGGAAAGATGACACCCTCCATTCCTTCTTTATCGCAAATGGTAAGAACCTGAAGAGTTCGGTCCTTACACATGTGCCCTGGCGTATACCTCTTGTCACGTCTGAAACAGAGCCCCTTTCGCACTCTTCTCCTGTAATTCAGTCTCTGTAAGCATCTTGAAGTTGTCCCCAGGTCTTCCTCCGGTAGTCTTCTCCTTCAAAGTCTCCCTAAGTGTACCCGGTGTTGGCTCATTAGGTGCCAAAAAGGTGTTGGTCATTCTGTACGAGCCTATTGAACTATTGCTTTCAGTTTCTTTCTCCAGGTGCCTCTGATCCTCCACCAACTAAGCTAGTTCCATAGCCTCTCCCAAGTCATGAGGCCTCATTACTCTAACCACTGCCCGGATCTCTGGTGTCAGTCCCTTCATGAAATTTTCCTCTAGCACTATCTCAAGAAGGCAGTCCAATCGGCTGGCAAGATTCTCGAATATCTTTCGGTACTCCATCACCGAACCCTCATGTGTCAAGGCTAAGAACTGCTCGTAGAAGTCTCCTCCCCTGCCAGTTTGGAAATGTTCTACCAAACAATCCTTGAACTTTCTCCAACTCCGAATGGGTCGTCACATGTCCCTCCACTTATACCAAGACAAAGCCTTCCCTTTCAAATATAGGCTTGCCGTCGTCAGTCTCCCTTCCTTTGTCAACCCATTGACGGCGAAATATCTTTCTACCTTGTAGATCCACCCGTGCGCATCCTCCCCCTCAAAGATTGGCATCTTCAGTTTCCTCACTCTTGGGTCACACTTGTTTCCCCAAAATCTTCCATAGCCCCTCATTCCTCGAAGAGGAGGTGCTCCCCAATTGTCAAGATTTTCCCTTCGGCGATCATACTCAAACCCTCCATCAAAATCCCCTCTTCTTCTTTCAAAATCAGCACCCCGGTGATCGAAATCATCCCCTCTACTTACAAATCAGCACCCCTACCTGGCGCGCCAATGCTCATCTCCTCCCTAGAAAGTGGTTCTAGAGGAGGCATTCCGTATTCTCCCTCCAGGATCTCTACTTATGAATTTTCTCTTCTCCAAAACGTGTTAGGGGTCTCATCTCTTCCATTACTTCCGGTAGTTTTCTTTGCTTCCGATGTCACCGGTTTGATTTTGGCTTCAAGAAATTTCCTCAACATGTCTTCCACCATGGTGAATGTTTCCTCCATCCTTTCATTGACGGATGCAATTTGATTTTGAAAATCAACAATCTTCTCATCAAAATCTGCTTTTGAGCTGACAAAGTTCTTCCTCCAAAACTTCCACTTTCCTTCCGACCATTAGTTCCCCTTCGTTTGACATGCTATGATACCAATTTGATAGGAAACACTTATAAATCTCAAGTATTCCCTATCAATCTTCGAAAAACAACGAGCTTCTTCACAAAAATTCGCACAAAACCACGAAAACAGTAGATAATTTGTATTTTTTAATGAAATAGAAGCAGAAAAATAGCAAGATATAGTTGATCCTCAATTTGTGAGGAGGATCGATCTCTCCCAAATCTCTAGACGCCGCTAGAGCCTAAAAGAAAACCTAAATTCAAGAGATCTTAAATTTTAGCCAAATTAAAGATGCTCTAACCCTAGGAAAACAAACTATTTAATGCTTTCAAATCAAAAGAAAATCTCTAAACAATCCCTAAATTCAAATTTTCCTCCTAACTTCAAAAAAACTTCCTAAAATAGCTTATACATGCCATGCGTGCATTTGATGCGTACAGGAGGCGGAGAAATCGCCTCTGTTAGCGTCTGGGCCGGTCTCGTCGGACTGGCTGGACCGGTCTAACAGGTTCCTATTTGAACGACATCATCGGACGATATCACTTTTATGGGTATTCTAGAAATTATAATGTTGGCATCATAAACTTGCTTTATTGCTACCCTCGTCCATATTGTTGCCTTTATCTTCGAATTCTATGAAGTTGGAAGAACCAAGGGTTTTAGTGTTAAATGTGATTGTTCCGCCAATAATAGTGATGTCAAAGAATCCTTTGAAGTTTAATTTTCCTATTTCTTAGGGTGAGGGCCTCTATCTCAATTGGCTCTTCCATCATTCCTTTGGTTGCAAGATTTGAGGTTTTATCAGGCAAGTTCTTAGCATTTCCTCCAAAAGTCTATCTACAGACTTTGGACTTTTGTCCTGGATGTTGGGAAGAGTGCAAGAACAAAGGTTGCTAGCTTTTCTGGATTGTGGAATCTGTTGGATAGAATCTGGTGCAAAAACTGCAAGTTGTCGAAGAGTCTTCACCCAAAATCTGCCACTGGAGCCACCTCCTGTTACTGAAAATTGCTGGACTGCTCCAACAGGACACAACTCACAAGTGAAGCGCTAGAGAATCTAGGCAAACCATTTTGACAAGATCTTGAATCCCGCTTGCTTCCCCCCTCACTCCCCTTATAAAAAAACCTAGGGAATCTATGAAAACTATTTTTTGGCAAGAGCTTGAACCATTTGCTCCCCCTCCCCCCAACAAAAAAAAACCCTCCTAACCACTTCACGATTGGTTCGACGTGACATTCTGCTTGTTTTGGCGTCCCTCACCCATGAATTACTTCATATGCCCTCTTAAATTAACTTCTTGATTAGGGCTTTTAGTTGCTAACATTCATTGATAAGATGGTTGTAGTCATCATGATAGAGGCATAATTTAGTATTATTTATCTTAGAAGATGATGCCCTTGCAAGATTGGGCCACGTAAAGAACTTTTATGCTTCTGATAATGACCATGAAAATTGTGAGAGGAAAATTAATGACAATAATGAACTACAACACTCGGGTGCGCATGATTGTCATGCTTTCTAAGTGTATCTTCATCAATGGTAAAGTTCAATTGGTTTATACTTAGTTATACTATTTTCACTTGATTATCCTTTTTCTATTATGGTAGAGGGTTGGCCAAAATAGATGGAGGAATGAACATCACAATATTCTCTTTGGTATTCACATATTTCAGCCTTTTATAGTAACTTCGTGTCTTTGAAGGGTTGTTTGCCACAACGAGTATGAATAGACTTTTCTTGAGCTTGAGAATCAATGTAACCTTGGCCATAGATGGATTCGATTATTTGACTTCACGTGTCACTCAAGCGAATTTTGTTACATAATTCATTAGCAACTTCTTTTGCTCTTGCTTTATGCAAAGGGGGTTCTTTGAGCTCTTTAATTGATGTTAAGTGCTTGAGATTTATGTGAAGATGTATTATGGAGTCATGAGGAAGCAATGCTATTAGTAAGCAATTTTTGAGAACACTCTAATAGAATCTTTGGGTGTTATCAAGAACATTTGACTCTATGTAGACTACCATGCTAACATCACGTCTTTGAATATTATCATGTGCCTGATAAAATCAATGTGTCCTTTGTATATATCCAATTGAGTCAGATTTCTATATTGACACATGGTCTATTTTCACCACTTATCCTGTCAGTTGAGAACTTGTACGAGAAGCCTAATTTCCCACGTCTTCTTCCTGCAGACATGCAACCCTTTGCATGCCATCTACACATTTGCAGAGTATCCATAACTAGTCCTTACTAACTCTTGTGGTTTTTGTAGTGAAGATGTTTGGAATGCTGTCTCATTGTTTACTTGTCGCTTTCTGATTAAGTGTAACCTATCCTTCCCTATGAAAGGACTGTTCTTCATTGGCGCTTTCCATTGTTGAAAGCATCGATTGCTTTTTTTTCCTATTGTTGTGATTCCTTAGAAATTACCAACTCATCTAAGAGATGAATGATTCTCTATTGGATGCCATACAATGGGTGGGTTTCTATTGTTATTATTAGCTTAATGCAACTTTAAATTTGAGCCTTTTATGCCCACAGATGCTCGCTATATGATGTGCGAGGATAGATGCTCTATCATTTTAAAGGGTAGTAATCTATCTCTCACATAATATTATAGTAAACAAAATAGAAAAACTGAAAATAATATTAAAAAGTTCATTTCTACATGTATTTTACATGCGAAATCCATAAAATATTCTGGAAAAATCAGTAATAATAAATGTTTTGAATTTTATGATGTTAAAAGATGACATCATGAAAATCGCAATATTTTCTTATTCGATCAAAATTATCAGGTGGGTAAAGATTGAGAAACTATTGATTCATCTGATGACTATGAAATTAGCTTTTTGTTCTTGGATTTTTCTTGCTAATAAATGAGTCGAGTGTGAATAATGTTTCTTGAACTTTAATGTGCTTCGATGAGACTTGTTTTCGATTTGATACTTTAAGTACCAAGCTCTACAAAGCCCCTAACTTCCTTAGGTTTAGCTGTTTACTCACTTTGTTGGAAGATAAATCCATAACACACGTGATGAGCGTGGTAATTACTGTGATTTATTGTAAAAAGGGTTAGGTTTCATTGATATTTTTTTGCACGCCTCTCATGTACTATACTCGTCCTTCTTCCAATTAAAATTACTTGTTTCCTGATTGAGATCTTTTCATTAAAGGCTTTGATCTTTAGAGAGGAAAGAAGGGGACTGGGCAAGAGTAGTAGAAGGTAAGTATCAAAAGCTTCGAGTAAGCAACACGCTGTCATAGTGTGCAAGTGTTGTCATGCAAAGGTTAATGACTTTTTTGTTTAGCATTTAATTCTCATCCATTTTTTTTTAAGGTCTACTTGCTAAACAAAGATGAACGCATTAGCTGCGACAAGTAGAAATTTCAAGAAAGCGGCCAAACTGCTGGGTTTGGACACGAAGCTGGAAAAGAGTTTGCTCATCCCTTTTCGAGAGATCAAGGTGAGGCAGCTAAAAAAGCTGAATCATGTTAGTTTTCCCAAAATCACCACTCGCCTCCCGAGTTGGTTTGCTTATTTACAAGTTAGTTGGCCAGATATTGATTTGTTGAACTTTTCTTGTAAACCCTTAGAATAAGCATACATTTCTCATTCTGTTCAGATTTTTTTGTACCCTTTTTATCAAATTAGGGGCTATGGAATGTCTTCTGTTCAGAATGTTTCTTTTTAGGAGCCATTTGTCGTCATTTCATTCTTTATAATAGTCTGATTCTAGCCTCACATACCAGTCAGTTCATGTCTCACTATTTTGTATTTTCAGAACCAATTTTTTGTTTTCTCAAGGCCAACTTGCGTTTTTTATATTTCTTGACAGCTCAAAATGAAAATATATAAATGGACTTGATCTACTCATCAGATTATTATGTTTCACAGTAATAGTTTTTGTTTAACTCTTTAACCTAGGTGCATTTCATCAATCCATTGTTTTTTTTTTTTTAATGTTGAAAATTTTGTCATGTTTTCCATTATATTACGTAACTATATTGTTTGTTTTCATGCTTCTTAAGCAATATTAATAACTTTTTTACAGGTTGAGTGCACAATCCCCAAAGATGATGGTACCTTGGCATCTTTTGTGGGATTCAGGGTGCAACATGACAATGCTAGAGGTCCTATGAAGGGTGGAATCAGATACCATCCTGAGGTGTGCTTATGATTCTTTTAACTTTCTCTCTCGGTTGAAATATTCTTGTTGATCATAAGCAAGAACAATCACTGTATATTTTATTGGCTATTATCTTCAATTATCATATACAAATATAATACCTTAAGGCGAGGCTCATGATCCAGACTTTACAATAGAATTATGATTCGCTGTTAGAATTAAAGCTGCCTGTTATGTCCGGATTTATATGCTCTCTACTTATTATATTAATTTCACTTTGCACTATGATGAAGAGGCATATTAGTGTTAATCTAAAAATAATGATGACTGTTGCGCAAGAATCTCCTACAAGGAGTCATACTGTTAGCAAGTATCTTTACTTGCTATGTTGCACGAGAACAATAAATAAATAGAATGAGTGGAAAGCTATAATGCTTTTACAGCCGCAAGGTCTATGTGGGTGCGGCTTAACGCTGTATTGATCTAGGTATTTCTGTCTGTCCCAAAAGTCTTAATTTTTAACAATTTACTTCATTTAAAACATGTTTTTTTTAATATTTTATCCTTTTTTTTCCCAATTCCTATTTATTTTGCGACCGTAAATTACTGAGACAGTGATGAAGTAGTTGTTAAGTTGCGTTGGTTAATTTTTCTTTTTTAGAGTTCTGGTCTTTGTTAAAATTTCCTACTTTCTATAATGGCTGCAACATATCACAATTGTTATGGCTTAAATATAATGAATTTTCTTTCTTATTCTTAAACTAGAGAACCTGTAGAAAAAGTGTATTTATTCAATGCATAAAAGCGAATATAAATCCCGTGCCTTCTACGTTGTAATGCATGAAGTAATTAAGTAACATCAATGATGTTTTCTTGATTTGAATATTTTTATATGAAAGTACATATGGCACACCAAGAGGGGGATGAATTGATATTTCAAACATCTTTTGCTTAAAAATAAAACTTTATGCAGACACATAAGAGGATAAAACAACTCAAAGTAAAAACTAAAAGCAAATAAGAATTTTTTTTTTAACTTTTAGAAAGCAAATATTTTTTTTCTTTTAAAAAAAATTTTAAAAAGAAAGTTTAACCAAAGATCATTCACTAGAAGTCTCTTTCATAATGATAATCAAAATAAAACTAGAGTGCTGTAGAATAATTGCAAGAAAAGTAAAGTACAGAAAAGTAAGAACGTGCAAACCAGTTTTATAGTGGTTTAGTCTAATCGAAATACGTAGACTACCCAAAGGCCCTCTTCTTTGGATATTGCACCAACTCAGACTCCTTCAGCACATTGCTAGGCAGAGATGCCCTTCTCCCTTACCACAGGCGGAGAATGACATTTACAGACTCTTAAGAATCTCTCTACTCTCGCTTCCTCGACTGGGCGGAGATGTCGTCCCTCCTTTAGCTCTTTTCTCCAACAAAAATGTCATCTCTCCTTTCGCCTCCCGGCTTGCAGAGATGCCGACGCTAACCTCCTTGGCTAGAGTCTTTCACCCAAAGATTCTTCTTCCTAGAGCTCTCCTCTAATAGCTCTACCAAACACAACAGGAGGACCAAGGTGTAGGCTAGCCTGAGCAACTATGTGACTCCTATCACAACCCTTGACTCTTTCAAGGCACTCTTCCTCTCTCAACCTCACCTCCTCTCTCTCCTTTGTGATGTGAACTCTCTCCAAGCTCTCTTATAGAAAAAAAACCTCTGAAGCTCTCAAGAATTACTATCCCTTAAGACATAATGAGTTTATAAAGTGGGCTCTAAAAAAATTCTAATTTTTAATTTTAGTCCTTATGATCGTACAGTACGATGCACAGACCGTACAAAATTCTCGAGTGAATCATATAATTCGATTTATTATTGTACAATACAATCATTAATAATAATTTGATTAGATTCGATTTCTTAATTCTCAAAATTAAATCAGAAAATTTTAACTAATGTTTGTACAGTATGATCATTTCTTAGTTCAAATTTCAAATTTATCTAATTTAAGTAATTAAGATTTAACAGCGGGGTTTCTCAAAATAGCTGATCGTCTTGTACAATGTGGTAGTTGTACAATATGATTAGTTATAGCCTAATTTAAAATTTAATATCATTTAATCAAATATTTGACTTAATTTATGTTTGAACAAATCACATGGTATGCTTTGAATCGTATAGTACGATTTAGATTGTATAGTACGGTTAACAAAAGAATTCAAATATTCAATTTTACTCCCCTTGCGTATGTGCACAGTTCCCTTGCCAACATACCACTAGTACATAAAATGACTCAAACAATAAAAAGTACAATCTCTATAAAACACAGACTGACTTATGTACTAACGCTATATTATCTTGAGCTTGGATTCTTTGCTTTTGCTCAGTATATGTTGTATCTGAAAAGGTTAGTGACACGCAGGAAAAAATATGCAAAATATAAAGTAGGAATAAGAAGATAGCATCAATACCATTTTAATTATTAAAACACAAGGTAGGGCTCTAGAATTGCAACATTATAATCCTTAAGCAAACATATAAACGAATGTTGCATGATATTTTGGATTATTTTTCTATCATTAGGATTTTTATAGGTGTAAGAATAAATTTTGTTGCCAAAGTTTGCAAGTAGTATCATGTATGTTATTCTTGATTAATTATTTTTCTATCATTAGGATTTTAATAGGTGTAAGAATAAATTTTGTTGCCAAATTTTGCAAGTAGTATCATGTATGTTATTCTTGTAATCAATGTTTAAAATTGCGTATATAAGTATTGAGGCATTTTTTGTTCGTGAGGCGAGACGCAAGCCTCAAAGCATTTTGAGGCGTGAGCCTCAAAATAAAAAATTGCGTTAAGTGCAAATAAATCTTAAAAATAAAATTGTATATAATACTTAAATAATATGTTAAAAGATGACATATTATCTTTCTATTGAACTATGAAGTTACACAAAATTTTAAAAAGAAAGTTTAACCAAAGATCATTCACTAGAAGTCTCTTTCATAATGATAATCAAAATAAAACTAGAGTGCTGTAGAATAATTGCAAGAAAAGTAAAGTACAGAAAAGTAAGAACGTGCAAACCAGGTTTATAGTGGTTTAGTCTAATCGAACTACGTAGACTACCCAAAGGCCCTCTTCTTTGGATATTGCACTAACTCAGACTCCTTCAGCACATTGCTAGGCAGAGAAGCCCTTCTCCCTTACCACAGGCGGAAAATGACATTTACAGACTCTTAAGAATCTCTCTACTCTCGCTTCTTCGACTGGGCGGAGATGTCGTCCCTCCTTTAGCTCTTCGGTCCAACAAAGATGTCATCTCTCCTTTCGCCTCCCGGCTTGCAGAGATGCCTACGCTAACCTCCTCGGCTAGGAGTCTTTCACCCAAAGATTCTTCTTCCTAGAGCTCTCCTCTAATAGCTCTACCAAACACAACAGGAGGACTAAGGTGCAGGCTAGCCTGAGCAACTATGTGACTCCTATCACAACCCTTGACTCTTTCAAGGCACTCTTCCTCTCTCAACCTCACCTCCTCTCTCTCCTTTGTGATGTGAACTCTCTCCAAGCTCTCTTATAGAAAAAAAACCTCTGAAGCTCTCAAGAACTACTATCCCTTAAGACATAATGAGTTTATAAAGTGGGCTCTAAAAAAATTCTAATTTTTAATTTTAATCCTTATGATCGTACAGTACGATGCACAAATCATACAGTACGATGCACAGATCGTACAAAACGATGAACAAATCGTACAGTACGATGCACAGAGCGTACAGTGCGATGCACAGATCGTACAGTGCGATGCACAGATCGTACAAAATTCTCGAGTGAATCATATAATTCGATTTATTATTGTACAATACAATCATTAATAATAATTTGATTAGATTCTATTTCTTAGTTCTCTGAATTAAATCAGAAAATTTTAACTAACGTTTGTACAGTATGATCATTTCATAGTTCAAATCTCAAATTTATCTAATTTAAGTAATTAAGATTTAACGGCGGGATTTCTCAAAATAGCTGATCGTCTTGTACGATGTGGTAGTTGTACAATACGATTAGTTATAGCCTAATTTAATTTAATATCATTTAATCAAATATTTGAATTAATTTCTGTTTGAACAAATCACATGTTACGATTTGAATCGTATAGTACGATTTAGATTGTATAGTACGGTTAACAAAAGAATTCAAATATTCAATTTTACTCCCCTTGCGTATGTGCACAGTTCCCTTGCCAACATACCACTAGTACATAAAATGACTCAAACAATAAAAAGTACAATCTCTATAAAACACAGACTGACTTATGTACTAACGCTATATTATCTTGAGTTTGGATTCTTTGCTTTTGTTAAGTATATGTTGTATCTGAAAAGGTTAGTGACACGCAGGAAAAAATATGCAATATATAAAGTAGGAATAAGAAGATAGCATCAATACCATTTTGATTATTAAAACACAAGGTAGGGCTCTAGAATTGCAACATTATAATCCTTAAGCAAACATATAAACGAATGTTGCATGATATTTTGGATTATTTTTCTATCATTAGGATTTTTATAGGTGTAAGAATAAATTTTGTTGCCAAATTTTGCAAGTAGTATCATGTATGTTATTCTTGATTAATTATTTTTCTATCATTAGGATTTTAATAGGTGTAAGAATAAATTTTGTTGCCAAAGTTTGCAAGTAGTATCATGTATGTTATTCTTGTAATCAATGTTTAAAATTGCGTATATAAGTATTGAGGCATTTTTTGTTCGTGAGGCGAGACGCAAGCCTCAAAGCATTTTGAGGCGTGAGCCTCAAAATAAAAAATTGCGTTAAGTGCAAATAAATCTTAAAAATAAAATTGTATATAATACTTAAATAATATGTTAAAAGATGACATATTATCTTTCTATTGAACTATGAAGTTACACAATGACATATTTAACAAAAAATTGCATAAGACGTAAAGTGGCTAGTGATAAATTGCATGAAATATAATTGAAATACAAATATTTCATGAGTAAAAAATTATTAAATATAGAAATTGCATAAAAGCATCATATAATATTAAGTTCAACTTCAAATTCTTTCTTTCTTGGTTTCCTACTCATCCACAATTAATTTCAAAAAAATACTAAAAAGTTGGCAACAACTAGAAAATCATCTATATTGTCATCATTGAAGGGATCTTTATTTGAGTCGTCATTATAACAAATTGATCTTTCCCTTGTCTCATCCTGTGGAGTCCAATGCCTCACAATATATTTCTTCTTCATTTATTTCAGGCATCTTCCTTTCTTAAATGTTTTTCATCAGCATAAAGATGACATTAATACTCCAAAATTTTTAGAGGTGGTGGTGGTATGCGGCTTTGAAGTGATGCTTGACGGCGGATATGACGGTGGTGGTTGTGGTGAAGGTGATGAGCTGGAGGTTGAGGCATTTGAGAGGAAGGTGCTATGACTTGGGGGCGCACAAAGTGTGATTTGTTCGGTGCTTTACTTTAGGATTTATGTAAGTTTATATATATATGGTGGGGCGTAAGCCTCACGCCAGTGAGGTGAGGCGGGCCTCAACCAAGTTGAGGCGCAAGCCTCACAAAAAAAACTCGAGGCGTAAGCCTCGAAGCATTTTTCACTGGAATTACGCAAGACGAGCCTTATATTGCACAATTTTAAACAATGCTTGTAATACTTCTTGACACAAAGTATGGGAATAAATCATTCCTTTGGCCTCTCTTAGCAGCTTCTTAAATATAGAAATTGCATAAAAGCATCATATAACACAAAAAAAACTCGAGGCGTAAGCCTCGAAGCATTTTTCACTGGAATTACGCAAGACGAGCCTTATATTGCACAATTTTAAACAATGCTTGTAATACTTCTTGACACAAAGTATGGGAATAAATCATTCCTTTGGCCTCTCTTAGCAGCTTCGCAGGATACCTCAATAGTCACAAACATGCTCTTAAGGGACTGTGCTTGCCATCTTCCCTAGATTTATACCAAAAAGTTTACTAGGAAGAATAAAAAAACTCCAAAATTATTTTTATGGGATGAGAAAAATTTCTAGGTATTCTTGGACTTCTAAGAAAGTTTACATGAAAATTTGAGGCAGTTCTCAAGTTTATCATAATAACATGGCTTATATTGTAGAAGAGGGAAGAAATCTTGAAAAATTAAAAGAAAATCAATCCAATAATCATCCGCTGATTTGTTAAGATGTTTACTTATAGACATAATCCTAGTGCATATGGCTTACTTATCAACTGAAAATATGTAGTAATGGTCTATCCTCACAAGTAGGATAACAAAATGGTTAGAAAACAAATCAAATTCTAGTAAGAGTATATAAAAACCAATTACCTATCAAATTAAATTCAATTGATCAAATCTGATTTAAAATTAATTTTAGTTGAAAGTATCAATTATCCCTAGTTTGATCTAAAAATTAGATTTGGGCAACTTCAATACTGAACACAATTGCTTAGAATTGGCTTTTAAATCATCATCACCATTACCCTTATCCAACCAATTTGAGATCGGCTTTATGAAATCCCAATTTTCATTTAATTCTGCAGTGTTACATATTGTGTTAAACCTATTATGCACGTACCTTTGTTAACAACTTGTGCATATTAGCTTAGGTCTACGATTCCGTTTACTCTCTAATCATTTAACACTATCTTTCAGCTCTGATCATTTAACACTAATTGAATCTTCCTTTCTAATCGTATATTTCTAGCAATCATTATACAGATTAAATCACTTTAAGTATATTCCTTTCACATTTCCTTCAATAAATGCTATAAATTTATTATTTTATGAATTTTAGCATAATTATCCCAAACTAATCTCTTCTTGGTCTAAAACCAACAATGGTGGAGGCTTTAATTAGTTTTTAAGCTGTGTTGCATAATTTTTAAAGATGTGGTAGTCATGGCTCATCAAGCTAGGTTGTTATACTGTCTCCCAAACACTGAAAAATAATGTCTAACATCCTCTTTGGTAGCATTCATTCATGAATTACTCCTCTATCTACCAGTTATGTTGCTTAGTAGATGACAACATTCACGAATGCATTGAAGTATCTGAAGAAGTCACTTGAATTGAAACATTTTTCAAAGTACATTAAATAGAAGTAAACATTGATGACTCGAGCAGTTTATCTTTTTGGTGATAAAGGCAAGTTGGCGCTGGCCTAGTCACTTTTGTTAGGTGAGGATTTAGCAGTTTGCATATCTCCCATGCGAATACCATAACTAAGATGTTCTCTAGGGCCTTGGGCAGTGAGACAAGCATGTTATATGATTGGATAGATGGATGCTAATATTTTAAATATGAAAGATGAGTTAGATTTTGACGATGAGAATTTGACATAAGTTGATATGGAATGAGCATTAGGAGTTGGAGAAATAAGGACGCATACTAAAAAATATGTTATATCACTTATAAGTGTAAAAGCTTCAAGTTTTAGAGTAAATTGAGTAGCTTATATTAAGGATGAAGAGGATGAGTCTATGGTGATGAAGATGAAGGAAGAGATGATGGAATACACATCTAGTGATGTAGTAAGATAAAAAAATATAATATATAATATTTAAAATTAGATTACCTTATGTTATTGATGCGACAAACAAACGTGCATTACTCTTTCAAGTTATTTAAGCCTGCTTTTAGGTGGCTTGTTAAAAAAAATCTCTATAATTAGATTTTGAAAATTTGGAATGCTATGAACTCTAAATATTTGTTATATTATCCAACATGTTTTTTGCGCTAGCTTATCTTTTTAAACTCCCCAATAGTATTCCTCATAAGTGAAATGGCTATTTTGCTTAGCATCTCACCTAGTGCTTTAGGCTTCAGACAACCATATCACCTTGATCGAATCTAATCCAGGACTTTTGATGGTATTTCTTTATATAGTTTGATTAGAGTTTTTGAGATCTTGACAATCATTATTAATCTTATCTTAATTATTTGGGGCTGGCTTTATGGATAGTCATTCTAAGAATTTTAACTTAAAATTTTGAACTGTTAAATGATTTAACATCAACTCTCAACTTATCTCGGTTCAGGCTTGGACCAACAATGGTGGCTTTATAACCACAATTTTTTTTAATAGTTTTTTAATAAATTAACAACTAAATAAGATTTATAATTAACCATGCATGTCGGAAATTTAACAGAAAATTAAAAAAATGCCAGTAAAGACTAGCTCTTCATGTGTACAACTTGATTAAGATAATCCCAATGGCACATAAGCTAGGGTACTTAGGAACCTATGAATGTAGGAATACAAATTGAAGTATGTTTAATCGTCCATAGATAAATCTAGGAAATCAAAGAGTGATCTAAGATAGCCTGTCAAAGAAAGCAAGTAAGGCTGGTTCCAAGCTTTGAAGAAGTGTGGAGCTAATAACAGTCTCTCAGAGTTTTGTTGTACATCGTTGCCTCACCTAACAATTGGACTGATTGGTAGTTTAAGGGAGAAAAGAAGAAAAGTTCCAAAATCGAAATTTTGACTGATTTTGAATGCCAAAACATTTCTGGAGCCAGTCATAGATATTAGGGTGAATAGCCGTGAATTAAGGTTCATTGTGAAGCTTCCAATTGGTGTTGCGAGTGGCCAAGAAAAATTTCCAGTTAAGTATAAGAGAATCATACTCTTTTCCCTCTCCAAATGATGTCATCTTGTAATAGTTTGTCATCTAGTAATTGTTTAACAACTTGGACTAAAGTTATAAATCCTTTCCACTAAAAATAAAGACCTTGTGATAATAAGGCTAAACCAAATTAAAAGGAACTAAATCCAATTCCAATTCGTAAAAAAAAAAGAAAAAAGTATGCTTTTTTTTTTTTTTTCTAATCAAACTATGACCAATTGAGCTCTGATTATATTTTGAAGTAAATTCTAATAATTTCTAGTCAAATCAAGCCTAAATTAAGCCTAACTAGATTTAGACTACATTTTTAATGTAATGCACTAGCCTAGATGAGATACGGATTGTCTTAGCTTTCAGCCCAGAGAATTAAAATAAGCAATGAAATATATTAGGGGGACTGCTAAATTAAAGTTTGTTATACCTCAAGGCTTATATTTTGCTATTTGTTTGTCCTGGTGAATAGAACCAATTTGCATGTTGCTTCATGCCTTTATTCAGCTGTAATTGTAGTTTTCTTGCCATGTGGTGCTTTTGAAAAATGCATGGTGTGCTTGACATTCTTTTGTATAGTTATGTTTTGCCACTCCAAAATCCACATGATAAGATTTATTATAGCAGTGAGGTTCAAACTCAAGATTTAAGCTACTATTTCTCAGGAGCTTATGAAGTGGATTAGTTGGCACCCATATCGTTGTGCATAGTTATTTTGCTAACATGCCGCCTATACAAAGGGAGATCAAAATGTTTGCAGCTGACATTACAGCTCATTTGTTATGGTATAAATTGTATGATCAAAATGGGTAGTTCCGTGTTCCATTAAGTAACTCTAATAATCTTATTTATCTTATTTTTTATACTTACATGTGATACTGTTCTATCATATCTTTTAAAATCTTTTTTCTTATTGGGTGCTTAGTTCACAGATTATTAGGTTGGTTCATCTGTTGTGATTTTCTTTCAATTAGGCTACTCAGCTTAAAACACATGTTCTTCTTTTAATGCCATTATTAATTTGCATTTTCATAATTAGAGCTCAAATGTTATTTGAATTTAACATTCAAGAATTATATGCCAATGTAGGTTGACCCAGATGAAGTAAATGCCCTAGCACAATTAATGACTTGGAAGACTGCTGTAGCAAATATCCCTTATGGAGGAGCAAAAGGTGGAATAGGATGTGCTCCGGGAGAGTTAAGTGTTTCAGAGCTTGAACGATTAACCCGAGTTTTCACACAAAAGATACATGACTTGATTGGAGTTCATATTGATGTACCAGCACCAGATATGGGAACAAACCCACAGGTTTCTGTAAACAACATTGGATTTTTCTCCTTTTTTGCATATCACTTAAATGTTTTTTTTTTTTTTATCACTTAAATGTTTAATACTTAGCAATGCTTACATTTCTGTTCTTTGCAAACTTGAAACAGACAATGGCATGGATATTGGATGAATACTCTAAATTTCATGGCTATTCTCCTGCAGTTGTAACAGGGAAACCTATCGTAAGTAATTGCACCATCAGAATTGTCAAGTCATCTCTGAGTATACGTTGATTTTGCAATTTTGTTTGTCATTATTATGATTATCTTCGAGGGAAGAGAGGTTTTTTCCACTTTATAAATAGAAATGCCCTATATAATTTTTACGCATTTCATGTTTGTGTTCTGAAGAACATTCCATTGATATATATATATATATATCATTTCATTAATAACTTTTAAAAGTAGGCTAATGGTAGCTTTGTAAATGCAAATAGGATATGGTCATTTTTCAAGTGTCTCGAGTTTTCTGTAAATATATGGATTTGCTTATTTGTTACTCTCCCTTCAAAATTTTCAACTTTTTCATGATACTCAATGCACTAATCAGCAAGTACGTAGAAATTTGTCAACCCAAAAAGAGAGAGAGCAAGCGTATAATTGAAATCCTATACCTGAATTAGACAGGAAAAGCTCATTTGGTGCCAAAGCATGTATTTATTTTTACTCATATTATGTTGTAGGTCATTGCAAGTCTACCAAATTGCATTATTTTTACTTATATGCACTCCATGTATGTGGTTATCATGTTTGTGTTTTAAAATGCCTCCTAGTAGTGAGAGATTTGTGCGAACTGTCAGGAGCTTATATGACTTTTGCAGGATTAATAGTTGTAATTACCTCCTTGAAAATCTTGTTTTTTAAAGGATTTCATTCACCTTTCTAGACACTTCAGCACGCACACAAAGGCCCTACCAAATGCTATTTTTTTAGTCATTTGATAGGAATCTGATCTCTACGAAGCAATAACGAATAGAAAATGCAGCATAAATCAATGAGATAGAAAGCAATTATGGGCTAATTTTATTGATGTAGGCACTACAAAACAAGATACAAGTTGATCTACTATTCGAGAGGTTGATTGGCTCTCAACAAACCCTAGGCGCATTAGAAACAACTTCAAAGAATAACTACAGCAACACACAAATCACATATTGAAAATAAAACAACATAATTAGCCCTAAATAAGCTTTCTAAATTCCCTCCCAATTCTGAATTTAAATCAGCCTTTTTTCCCTAAATAATTTCCTCTCAAATCTGAATTCAAATAAGCCCCCTTTCACTAAATAAACCTTCCTAATTTTCTTTCAAATCTGAATTCAAATCATCTCTCTTTTCCTAAACCTTTCGTAATTCCCTCACAATCAAATCAACCCTCTTTCCCTAAAGAAACATCCCTAATTTTCTTCCAATTAAATCAGTCTTCTTTTCCAAAACAAACCTTCCTAATTTCCTCCGAATCAAATCAGTCTTCTTTCCCTAAGTAAACATTCCTAATCCCTCCTAATTTTGATATTTTATGGTAAGTAATTAATCCCCCTTTGACCCCCCTTTCTCCTTGTCCGTTGTCCACCCAGCTTAGCTGGTCCATCATCTTCTTTTAAATCAATTTGATTTCTGAGCTGCCAAATCTCAGTCAAAATTATTGATTTTTGGATCTGAAATTAAGATCAAGAAGGGGCTGCAATCTATAGGATTTTATTTTTATTTGATCATTATTCATGCACATTCATACCTTTCAGTAATGAAACAACCCAAGAGTGCGACATAAGGCTTATTTAGTTTGATTGTTTGTGTTGATATAGAGGGTTGAGAAGTTGCTCTATGAAAATTGCCGTAAGATTTTTTTTTGGGTAGCTGTAGCTATTTGATTGCACCTGTGGTGCAGATGTTGTAAGAAAAATAAATGACACATTTATTGCTCGGTAAAGATGCCCGTAGAGCCGCTTTATCATTCCAAAATATTTCCCTTAAAAGAGCTGAGGGTACTTGTTGGATGATATTTTCATATTTGACCAACTTGTTTTATAAAATGCTTACAAGAACTTGTTTTAAAATGGCTATTAGAAACCAGTTTCACACTAGAATATTTGGTAGCTAACTTCTCATGCTACACCTACAAAATATCCATTCAAACGCCTATTTGCTGATGCAGAGTCATTTCTGAAAGAGAAAAACCCAACTAAATAAGCTATGGTGTTTGATATTTTCTAAAATTCATGGGTTTACTTGACTTTATATTCAGCCAATGAGTTGTCTTGATTAATCAAAGAATCAGATTTTTGGCATTACTAATGCCATTCATAATTTTATATCCTTGATACTTTATTAGTCATTTAAATTATCTCAATGATATGATTGAATCATTTTGGTAGTAAATTATTATGACCCAATCTAAGAATTTGGATTATAAAGATGGGAACAAATAGTCGAACAGAGTTTTTAAATTACTACTTCAAATATTTTTAAGAAATCATCATCTAATGCAACGAATAAGTCTCTATTAAATAAATAGGGTTATTCGAAGGATCATCGGCTCGACGACGTTGAGGACTGCAGACGATGATAACTACCGTTAGGATTCAATCCGCTGGCTCAGTTAGGGTTATTTGTAGTTTTTTTGGACTAGGAACTCCAGTGACAAGAAGCTCAAGTAGTCAAGCTCCATACCCTATTTCTATTTTACCTGAAACTTTGTGTCTGGGGTTTTAAAATCGAAGGTTATACATATTTCTATTTTATTTTATTTTGAAGTGCTGTTCTTTTCTATCAATTAGTTTAAGGTTAGGCTTTTATGGAAAACATGAACTTCTCCCCGTTTGTGATCCTTGTTAGGAGCCTTATTGAGTGATTTTAATTTATCCATATTTAGTTATTTTTCATTTTTCCTGCTTGGTGTCTAAGGAGTTTGCATTTTTTCGGGATGAAATAATAATCATATTTCTCTAATGTATTGATTTGTGCAACTCAAGATATTTATTCAATATATATTAGTTATCATGCTTATTATTATTATTATTATTATTATTTTGGAGTAATGTTGGTCGTGCTCCTCCCATATTTTTTTGCTTAAGTCATGGATGTTCTTACTAGACATTTGCAATATGATGTACTTTTCATGTATGCTTTACAAAGAGAGTTGATGAAAAACTTTAGTTATGGAGGTCAACTTTAGAGTCCAAAGATTTTCGCTTGAGTAGATTCAAAACTGAATATATGGAATGTAATTTTAATAGGAGTAGATCTATTGGTGTGATTATGATATTGAGTGATGAAATCATTAAAAAGGGTGCACGTTTTAGATAACTCGGGGCTGTTGTTCAAAGCCATGGTGAAATAGATGACGATATTATTAGTAGAATTCAAGTTGAATGGTTGAGGTGGAGGAATGCATCAAACTTGTTTTGTGGTAGAAAAGTGCCCCTCAAACTTAAGGGAAAATTTTATAAGATGATGGCGGACCTACAATGCTTTATGACACAAAATGTTGGACACTGAAAGAGAAGCATAACATTAAGAAAGTGTTATAGAGATAAGGATGCTCAGGTGGATGAGTGAGTTTACATATAGAGGCATCTCGATTTGTGTGTAATAATATCAAGTCCTTCCAAATTTCCTTGTGCATTATCCCCAAGCTACTTTGTTCTTGTGTAAATGTGCTCATTCTCCTTCGATTTTTTCTCTTAAAGGACCTTGGTGGATCTCTGGGTAGAGATGCAGCTACTGGAAGGGGAGTCCTATTTGCTACTCAAGCTTTACTTGAAGAGTATGGAAAGAGCATCTCAGATCAGCAATTTGTTATACAGGTTTGTTTTATTCTTGCATTGGAATACCTTTTACTGATGGCTCCACCAAACACACGTGATTTGCATATTCTTGAGAGAGTAAAATAGCTACAATTATGAGGGAAAAAACCGTAGGGAACGGATTGCTTGTTAGATGTCTATAAGTTTCATGTTTAATTATAAACTGGTTTCTCTATTTTATAGTTTCTTTCACAAACTTTGAAAAATGAAATTACAATGGAAAATTATAGTTTTATTTGAAGTTGGGATTCAGTTATAGCTTCCAAATGTATAGGAGAGTTGGTTTATTTGATCCATACACTCATTATGAATTCGATGGAAAGAAACTCTTATTATAACATATTAGATTATGATGGATCGTTTCATTGGTTTTCTGGAATTGTTTTCTGTTGTGGTTAGTATTCTCTGCTAATACTTTGACTTTTTTTATCTGCCTGTTGAAGATCAATATTCGTAGGTTCCGTTTGGTTTGAAGGTGTTGAAAGGAGAAAATGAAAAAGAAAAAAAAAATGTTAAAGGGATTAAATTTAAATTAGTTCTCCCCCGCTTCTTTGGTTTAAGAGGAATTCAATAAAAATATATATTGTTTTTTCTGGTGGTTGATGAGAGCTAAAGTTTATGTTTCCTATGAGGAGATATGGAGATCATAAAGCTGATCCAATAAAATCTTCTCTTTTTCACTAGGTTTAGATGTGGGATTGTTGTTGAAAAAATACAGTTCATATTTTCTTGGCAAATTCATTATTTGTTAATTACATTGGAACAATACACCCAATATGAAGTTGTGAAGTACATTTACATCCCTCCAATTCCCTCAAACTAAACTTTATACATCCTTTTAGTAAATAAGCCGATGAAAAGGAAAGGTCAATGTTAGACCGGTCCAATCCAATCCATGCGGGACCGGCCCAGCGGAACAGAGGCGGAAGAATCCGCCTTTTCCTGTACGCGTGTCTAACCGCCAATCCTCATAGAGCCATTTAGGAAGGTTTTTGAATGGTATTTAGGAGGGAAATTAAATGTAGGGACTGCTTAGAGATTTCCTTTTGATTTGTATGCATTAAATAGTTTGTTTCCTAGGGTTAGGGCTTCTTGAATTTGGCTGAAATTTGAGATATCTTAGATTTAGATTTTCTTTTGGGCTCTAGTAGCGTCTAGAGATTTGGGAGAGATTGATATTCTTCTCAAATTGAGGATCACTTATATCTTGTTTGTTTTTCTTCCGTTAGTTGATTTCTTGCAATAAAATCTATTGTTTTCCCTGATTTTTATTGGAGTTTGGAAGAGTTTTCTCGCTGTTTTTCGAAGATGATAGGAAATACTTGAGATCTACAAGTGTTTCATATCAGTCAATTTCTCATGTATAAGATAAATCCAGTTGTTGATTCTTTTCTTTTCAAATTGTTTTCAATACTTCCATGACAATTTAGGGGTTTGGAAATGTTGGTTCCTGGGCAGCCAAGCTTATCAATGAATTTGGAGGGAAGGTTATTGCAGTTAGTGATGCGAGTGGAGCAGTTAAAAATCTTAAGGGCCTGGATATTGACAAATTAATTAGACATGCCTTAGAGAATCGTGGGATTAAAGGTTTCAGTGGTGGAGAAGCTTTTGATCCAAAGTCACTGTTAACTGAAGACTGTGATGTGCTTATTCCAGCTGCACTTGGTGGTGTGATAAACAGGTTCGTTTTTCATTTCTTTCATTATTTCCCAACGATAAAGTTCTCATGGCATGTGGACTGCAGTAAAATGCCTTTTTTGGGACCTAAAAAGGGAACCTGAACATTATTTTTATATTTTTATTTAAATTATCTATAATCGTCTCAATTGCAAATTTCTCAATATTCATTTGAATTTGGACTTGGAAGAGTTTTGTATATAATCTTCCCTGTAAAATGGTTTTCTTTATTTGACTTGAAATTCTTATCATTTTAAGGGAAAATGCAAATGACATTAGAGCTAAATTCATTATTGAGGCAGCCAATCATCCCACAGATCCAGAGGCTGATGAGGTTGGTTTTTTAAGTCTCTCATGCAGCATTCAATCAGACTTTTTGTCCATTTTGAAAAATTCCTCAGTTCTAACTCCCATAGGAGTCTGGGGTTAAAAGGCTATCCGTATTCTATAACATTTTCTTATTGAGTATTATTGAGATTTATGTTACTAAATTTTTTGCTTGTTTGTATCCAGATTCTATCAAAGAAAGGTGTAATTATTCTACCCGATATCTTTGCAAATTCAGGTGGAGTCACTGTGAGTTATTTTGAATGGGTTCAGGTAGTTTCCTCTTCCCTTCTGTATTAAGTTCATTCACTTACCCTTTCCCACATGAATTTTCGTCTGTGAAGGGCTATTTTTAAGACTCGACCCATTTCCTATCTAAAAATATCTTCGTGGCTTGTATCTAATTTCATTTTAGGGGTGGTTAACATTTTAGGAATGAACATTTTATGTTGAATGAAAATTATTTTAGAAGGAGGGTCTTATAGTTCCAATGGAGAAAATTGATTCATGTAGCCGACCTCACGTAGTGGTATAAAGGCTTGATGTTGTAGTAGTAGTAGTTGTTGTAAGGTCTTATAGTTCCACTAAAATTGCGGGAAATGCCCAAAAATCAGCTGAATATAATATTATGATAAGGCCATATAACCTAGTTTTAGTTTAGGGAATTTTGGTTCTACAATGTCATTATGGATTTGACAATAAGGTGGCTGGTTTTATAGTACCAACAAAAAATTATAAGTTATGTAGAATTATTTTTTATCACCCACAGGGAAGGCGTCTGCTAAGGGAGAAATTATTATGTGTGAATGCCGAACACTGTTTACTGTCCGGAGATCAACTAAAATGCACCATGTCAGCAGTACTGAGTCGTGTACCAAGCCGCAGTACCGAGCAGTATCGAGTCGGGTATCGAGCAGGGGGTAATGTGGCACATTTTGGTTGATCTCTGGACTGCATTTTTAATGTCCGCATAGAATAATTTCTCCTACTAAAGGGCGTGCAATCATAAACCATGAGATGTCAAAATGCACATCTCTTTGATCTTGTATCTTGCATGATAGAAGACAGCGAACTAACACTTATCTCTATGAAAATTATGTCTGTGCTACAATATTATGCTCTATAGTTAATCTTGTGCCCACCTTGTAACTATATATCTGATATTGTGTTAACTTTACATTTATGCTGATATTGGCCTCACCTAGTGAAAATATAAGATGGATTTTCATCCTTCAAACAAAAAACACTATATTATTACACCGACAACACGCCTTTTGTAGAACATACAAGGATTTATGTGGGATGAAGAGAAGGTGAACTTGGAGCTCAAAACATATATGACTAATGGTTTCAAGTATGTTAAGGAGATGTGTAAGACCCATAGCTGTGATCTTCGCATGGGAGCTTTCACTCTTGGACTCAACCGAGTTGCCCGAGCAACGGTCCTCAGAGGTTGGGAGGCCTAATTTTAAGGTTCTTGACCTTCCCCCATGGTAGGGATATATTTATATATATATATTCATACAAATTATGATGTTTTTTCCCCTCTATATGTATCTTGCAAAGCAAATATTTGGTTACCACCATTGTAGTGTGTTGCATAACTTATAAATGATAATCATCTTCAAGTGTTGTAAGATTTTACATGTGCCTGATTTGAGGTATTGCTTCATGATAAATTGAGTTGCATGATAAATTTTGATACAAAACATTTTAGAATTTTAAATTTTTTATCCAAATTTTTAGATGGGATGTACATAATTATGAACATATGGTCTAATTAGTTGTTAAAAAGTTATAAATTAGATAATAAGGTTTTATTTGGGATAAGTTTTTTATTGGTTTATAAAAAAAAAATTCTAGTACATAAATTATTGAAACAAAAAATTTTTATACTAGAAAATTATTTTAGAAAGCAGTAAGAAATCGTCCCAAATAAAGCCTAAATTATCCCCTTGGATGAAAAACAAAGAAATAGAAAATTTTCTCAGACAATAAATTACTAATCATGCAGTTAATAATTAAAATTACATAATATGGATGTGACAAATAACCTATGAAAACAGTAATTAAAGCATCGTGTTAGAACAACGAGATAGTTTCAGCTAGAAGTTTGTATTCACCAATTGTATTGAGGTAATCACGTCCAACAAGTATTCCAGCATAGAGTGTAAATAAAATGATTCAACGGAAATGTTAGTGGACTTTAATTTTATAATCACAGATATATGGGAAAATTCATGTCTTTATATAGATGCGAGTCTTCACTCTTCTACTTAATGATCTCTTTTTTATTTTTCTTCTTTTAATTTAATAATTTTAGACACACAGAGAAGATCAAAATGATGAATTGATGCAACTCTCTTTCTTTCTCTCTCTCAAGATAGCTCGGGGAATACCTAAATGCTTGAGGATGAGTGAGCTTATAGGTTTCGTTTGTAATAATATTTTTATTATTTTCAGAAGTAATTTTTAGATATAAGAATTTCTAATTTAATTAATATTTTATTAAAAATCTTCTTCAAAAAATAATAAAAAATATCTCAAACAAAATCTTAATATCCTTCACAGATCCAGTAAAAAATTGGATGAAGAGCTCACTTATTGTAAAATCCTTTCCAAGCTATACCTGAAGCTTTAGCGGAGGTTGGAAGGAAGTAGAAAGAGGATGATGCTTCTGAATCTAAATAATTTCTCTCTAAAATCCGCACTCCAAAACTCTGCTATTTTATCAAAAGGAAAACAAAAGATCCCAATGGCATCAGAAGATAACAGAACACGGTGTGATCATCACTAAAGAAATATGCCAGAAAATTCACAGGAAGAGAGTAGATTCGTAGTAAGAAAATTCGAATCGGGTCGGGTCGGGTCGGGCTTTGAGACCAACACATAGATGGTGATACAACCCGACCCGAGTTGTCGGGGGTCTGTGGCTCTTTAGCCAACTTACCCGACTACTACCAAGTCACCATTCCCACCGTAAAATGACAGCCTCCTCGGCTTCCTCGGCTTCAACTCGACAGCCAGAGATCCGAAAAGACGCCGTTTTCAATCGCTTGGTCATCTTCTCACCGGCGAGATCTCGCCGCCCATCCGATTTCAAATCCCACTCCCCCACCAAATCTCCAAACCCTAACCCTAAGCATCTGTCCTGTCCCTTCTGCCTCGGCCGCGAGCACGACTGCGCTCCAGAGATTTTTCGCATTCCGCGTGACACCGACGACTGGAAGATCCGCGTCATCGAAAACCTCTACCCTGCAGTCCGCCGCGACCTCGAGCCGTCGTCGTGCTGCGAAGGCGTTGTGACCGGGTTTGGCTTCCATGACGTGGTGATCGAGACGCCTGTTCACGGAATTCATTTACCGGACCTTTCTCAGGCGGAGGTTGGCGAGGTGGTGCTAGCGTACAAGGAGCGCGTTTGCCAGCTGGCGAGGAATGGGCTGCTGGAGTATGTGCAGGTGAGTTATATGATATACCGAATTCACGAAAAATGTGAATTTTGCATTTTTGAACGAGGTCGGTTTATGAAAATACTGTTAAAACGAAATCCAGTTATGGTGATTTTGAAATTCAACTTAAAACGAATAACAATCATGCAAGTAACAGTAAAAAAAAAAGAGTTAAGCTTTGAAGGATAAACCTGTTGCAGTGAGACACTTAAAAATATGAAGTTTCCCTTACGGCAGAGATTTTGTCCATCATGCAAGTTTCTCGACATGTCTTGCTCCAGGATATATCACTCCATGGACGAGTTGATCTTTACAAAAGCATGGACCTTATGAAGACATTTATGAAATTTTTGTTAATCGAATGCATAAATGTAGATAGAGTTGAAGAAAACAAAAATAATTTTATACTTTTTGCAAAATTGGTCACAGAGAGAAAATTGAAGAAAAACAAAATTATGAGAGAAAGAGAGTTGCATCAATTGATGATTTTGATGCTCTTGCTCTGTCTATATATATATATGAAGCTTCCCTTACAGCAGAGATTTTGTCCATCTTGCAAATTTCTCAACATTTCTTGCTCCTAAGATATAACACTCCATGGCCAAGTTAATCTTTACAAAAGCATGGATCTTGTGAAGATATTTATGAATTTTTTTTCATTGAATGCCCGAATGTAGATAGAGTTGATGAAAACAAAAATTCTTTTAGCTTCTTTTCTATCCCTTTTGCATTTAAGTTTGCAAAAAAAAAAAAAAAAAAAAAAAAAAAAGAAAAATAAGGTGTCGTGCATTTTGTCTTGCAGTATATACTTGACCTGTTTCTGTGATACAGCTGGTACAATATTTTTAGTGTTCGTTGGATTGGTACTTGCTTCTTCTTGCCAAGGTTTAGGATGACGATTGCTGATTTATTTTCTTGAGTTTAAAGGTTTTCAAAAACTATGGTGCATCTGCTGGAGCATCAATGACTCATTCACATAGTCAGATTATTGGTCTTCCATTGGTTCCTCCAACAGTTTCTTCACGGCTTGATAGCCTGAAGGAGGTTTTTGATAAGTCCGGAAAATGTGGCCTTTGTGAGGCTTCAAGTGAGGACATTTTGATTAACGAGTCCAACTATTTTCTGGCAATTGTTCCTTTTGCGGCATCATTCCCTTTTGAGGTCTGGATTGTTCCAAGAGAGCATGCTTCATATTTCCATGACTTGAATGAACAGAAGGTAAGACATGTCAAATTCATACCAATGTTGCTAATTCGTGGGTTATTTTTGATGTGAAACGATTTAAGCATGCAATAAATTGCAAAATAATCAACACCGCATCCAATTTGGTTCTACTTTGACAACAAGAAAGGGCAAGTTGAATAGAATGTAGTTGTTTGACGGGTAATTAATTTTGGTTCATGAATAACTATGGAATATAGGAGGTTAAATGGTTCTTGAAGTTGACTAAGCTTAGAAACTGGAACTAGTCAAATTGTGATGGTTTGGTTTCCCTTTTGTATTTTCTATTTCACACATAAGTAGACTGTAATAAATATCTTAGTGTGAATACTATCCTGAATCTTTAGTGATTTCGTTCAATAAATTTGTCTCTTGAACCAGGGAATCTAGCTAAAATATATTACACTTTTTATTGCACATTTCCTAGTGCATTATGTTAAAATGAAATGCTATCATGTGAGTTATCTTTAATTGTGAGTTCTCTTAAATTTGGTTCTTAACTATACTGCAATCCGTCATATACAAATACCATTATACTATTTTGGTTACATATGACTATGAACACCTTCCATAGTGCATTATATCAAACGAACTGTCATGTGATAAGTAATATTTCCTTGTTATAATTGGTTCATTATTCATTGCACACTTTACAATAACCCTTCTTACATACAAATAACATTATTGAACAAATGAGAATTTATAAACTCATTTCTATGGACACATATGGTAGGATATGGTTACTGGTTTACTATTGAATCCCAACGGTCTAACAACCTGAGACAAACATCGTGTTATTTGTAATAATCTCCTGACCACAAGACAAGCCCTGGTGAGTTCTCGAGCGATACCAGTGCCTATACAAATCCTTTCGAACGCCTCGCTTGTATCTAGCTATCATTTTAACTCCTCAGGCATCCAGAAAACCTTTTTGATCCAAATCCGATAAGGATTAACCTTGCAACTTTAAAATATATTGCCAACTTCGACCTTACTATAGTAAATTTCTGGGGTCACTTAGCATTGCATATTGAACCAACATAAATAGGGTTTAATCTAAAACTACAAAAATTGTTTGGGAAAAAGTTTTTCATGGAATACCATAGTTCGATGTCAGTGATGAAATCATGGTCATTGGATTTAAGCCAATGGCTAAGATCAAGTCATATGGGAACGAGTACAGTTAGGTGTTGACCTCCATATCACTGCCAAAAGGAAAAAAAAAAAGAGAAGAAATTAAAATAAATACCATACCTGTTCTGCCATCCCACGACCTCGGCACGTCGCTCGCACGCCGAAGTCGCATCCTCGCACGTCGTCTGCACGACCCCCTTGTCGCGTTAAGTAGCGGAAGAATGAGAGAGTCGGGGCTCTCAGACTCTCGCAATCGCTCATCCCTCTCTCGGTCTTTCTCCTCCCAGCCGGATCGGAAGTCGACATTTCGATCGGAAGCAATACCGGAGCTCGCCGGCTGTGAAGATAACCTTCTACCTTTCGTGCTCTTCTTCCCTTCTCTCCGACGCCATCCCCTACCTGACAGGATCGGAAGTTACTACAGTTCGATCGGAAGCAACACGATGAGCTTGCCGCTGTGAAGTTAACTTTCTCCCGTACGTCGCTTCTTCGACTCCTTCGTGGACGTCCGACCTTGCGCCTTTGACGACTTTCCATTCATGTGGGATCAGAAGTCAGGACATTTTGATCGGAGCCAAGAACAGGAGCTCGCGGTAGTGTAGGTAACTTTCTCCCGTATCGCGCTCTTCTTCGGCCATACCCAGTGAACCCGGAGAAACAGAGAGAGGAAAAAGGGAAGATTTAATTTTGTTTTAATTATCATTAATTATTTTAGTAATTATTTAATTATAATTGTAATTAATATGTTAAGTATGATTAGTAATTAATTACTTTTCGGAGCTCACATTAGGATAGAAACAGGTTGTTAATTGGTTTATGGATGGCTAGTTATCAGTTGTTGAATAGGAAACCAATGGATGTTGCTTCTTTTGTCAATTCACAAAGCTGCACACATGCAAGCGGCTTCTTCACTGCTTTGCTTATCAAACTATAGCCACGCAACTATACTGCTTTCTTGTTATTTTTCAGAAATTTTTTGTGGTGAAAAACTATTTTTAGAAAATTAGATATGCCAGAGTGTGGTAGTTGTAAGAAAGCTTCATTTTGAATTTTTCAAAATAGAAAATATTTATAATATCTATAGTAATTTTATAAAGTTTTACAATCATCTTTATAAAAAATTGCAGCCGCTCCAAAAAGATTTTTTCTTTGTCATGGACCCTCAAATTTGTTGAAGTCCCAGGCTGATCTAGTAAACCTTGAACTTAAGACTTGCCAAGACTAATTCTTAACCTAACTTAGCTTGATTCAACTACCCTAGGCTAACTTAGCTCTCTCAGGATCACCCTAGAGGCTTACATTGCTTGCACAGATGCCCACTTAGTTAGTCTTGAGGTAATAACCCTAAGAGACCCACCAAATCAAGACCAACACTTCACATTTTGAGCCCTGGTGTGATCCCGACCAACAGCCACCACAAACCTTACTCATAGACCACCCTGTTGAGTTAACTCAAGAAATCATATAGCTTAGGTTGATCCTATGCAATCATATAGCTCAGACCTTTACTGTAACACGCTCTAACTGTCTAACTCATAGGGGAGAATTTTGATTAACTAGTTCGGGAGGAAAATTTTTACTGCTTTCTTTGGTAATTCATATTGTTTTCTTAATCAACACGTCTTTGTCAGAGCACTTCACGACTTTTGTTTGTAACCAAACTCCTGAATCTAATCCTAGTTGGCGTATTTTATCATCATTATGTCAGTGTTGAAGCCTTTATTTGTGAACTTTCGATTATAACAGAGACCCGTACCATCAACCATTTGGTTGAGTGGTATTGCCTTGATATCCAAAGCGAAGGTCCATTACAAAAAAGAAAGTTGATTTTTTTTTTTTTGTGGTGTAAAAAATTTTAGACTAAGGGTGGAACTGACATAAAAATTCGTTCCCAAAAATTCGTTTTGGGTCAACTCTTGGAATGTTCGGCTGGGTTTGTGTTAACTTAAGTGATTAAAAAAATTGGGTTAGGTCCAAGTCAAGTTAGAAATAATTATTTGATTATTTGATTTTCTTTGCAATGGAAAGCTCATATTAAATTGATTTTTTTTTATTATTTTATTGAGTTGTCTCCAAAATGGTGATCATGTTAATTTCTAGTTGAGGTGACTAACCTGATAGTTGGGTTTGGGTTAAAATTTTGACTAGTATGATAAAAAAACTGGGTTCATATTGATTGTATTTATGTTGGTTGGGCTTTCAATATACAGCCCTACTTTAGATCAGCTAAATTTTCTGTTTGCTGGGCTTTCAATTAACTAGTCATCCTATATTGGCCTGTCTGTTATCTTACATTCTATCCAACTTCATCTTGTATTTCCTGTGTTTTCATTTAAAGATTCTCATCACCACTTGATTTCCTTTTCAGGCTATGGATTTTGGTGGTTTGCTGAAACTTATACTTACAAAACTGTCAAAGCAGCTGAATGATCCTCCATACAACTTCATGATACATAGTTCACCATTCCATCTTCCACCTTCTCACTTGCCTTTTGCCCATTGGTTCATGCAAATTGTTCCCCAATTGAATGTTGTTGGTGGCTTTGAGATTGGAAGTGGCTGCTATATCAATCCAGTCTTCCCAGAGGATGCTGCCAAGGTCTTGAGGGAAGTTAATTGTACAATTAATTGAGCCAATTATCCTATCAGTGCAGATATACAGGTTTTCTTCTTGCCTCTTGTATTTATGTTAAACAAATAGAAAGGTCGTATCCTGTAAACTTTTTTAATTGCACCATGAAGATTTTACACCAGAATGAAATGTGTTCTTAAGAATAATGGATTGACCAAAATAGGCTTCATGATTGTATGGGTTTTATTCTAAAAAGTATGTCAGTCTTTTACCATTCTAATGGTTGGCTATGAACTTTTAGTGGATAGTATGTCTTGATGTTTATTTATTGTTGTGCTGAAAGGACTTTTGACATTATTGATGACTGTTGTGGGATGGAATAGACATAGCAGTAAAATCAGAGTTTTATTATATTAGTGTCGAATGAAAATTCTAATGCACAAAGAAGATTGAAGTTTTCTTATATTGAAAATCCTGGAAGAAAAAAAATCGTTGGACCTAGTACAATTCTACTATTGTAAGTTGAATATGACATAGGGTGTCTTTTTCTGTGATTGGAGAATTCATTAATGCAATATAATATATATGAATTGTATGACATATCTTTTATAATAGTTGTAGGTGCCTGATGTCTCACAATGATCATCAAAAGATGATTGATGGTTTATTTGGTCTTTCTCTTATAGGAGAGGGGGTTTGGTGATCGGAAGGGGAGTGTCTACCTTAATAATAATGATAGTGGGCCTTAGGTTTGGTGGTGACAATGAGCATCGACTTTTCTGGTGATGATGCCCGATTATGACGAACTTCGATGCTAGTGATGGTGGGCGTTGATACTATTGACGGTGACATAGGAAGATTACTTTTATATCTAAGTCGAGAGATGCTTTTTATCACAACACTCGGTCATATAAAGAACATTCCTGTGAATGTTTCCTCTGATGCATTTGGTGATTGGGGGAAAGTAATTTCTTTCACTAGTTTGACATGTGCAAGGATAAAGTGAGACTTGTGAGTGACAATCATATTGATTTGAATCTAGTTTATCTAAAGGCTAATTATAGGTTTAATTATAACTTGGCTAAAAAATTACATGGTTTTTCTTGTCATATTAAGTGGGTCAATGACATTCCTTTGCTATTATTATTATTTAGGAACACTATTAAAATCAATTTTCAATTCAATCACCCTCTCTCTTTAACTATATACACAAAGACTTTCCTACAATCTTAACAACTTTAGCAATCTCTTCTTAACATCATAAGCTTTTCAAAGAAACACTCACTCAAAGAAACACTCACTCATGAAGCTCCTTGTTGAATAAAGGTCTTTGAAGACTACTTGGACGACTCGTTGACTAGTCAGTAAAGTGGTGGCAGTAGCGGTGGCGGTTGCCAACCCTAATGGCTCATATATTAGAGCTAATTTTGAGTTGAGCTTATATTCGCTCGAGATCAACTGGGAGATTGTTTTTTTTTTTGTGTGTGTATAGATATATATTAAATTTATTTAATTTTAAAAATGAGTTATGTTAAAATATTATAATGATTGATTATGAAATTCAAATATAATGTTCTACTAAATTTCATAATATATCCGATAATAATAGATTTTGATATTCTCTTTATTTTTAAAATTTTATTTATTTATTTTTCACAAACGATTGGTTTATATAACTTGCACTATTTTTTATTATTATAAAATTATACCAAGCTAAACCGTTGATCCCGTCAATCGAACGACCATGATTTGTTTTATATTACACCCCGGCATAAATTCTTCTCCCAAAGCAAAGTTTAAGGAAATAAGGAATTTTTAAACCCGTTTTTTTTTTTAATTTTTCTAAGCTAAAATTTTTTGAACTAAAAAATTGTTTTAGAAAACATTAAAAAAACCCGCCCCAATGAAGTCTAAGTAATGAGATTATCAAATCTAGAATCGAATAATTATTTGGCAGATTTAATTAAATCAGTCCAATAAATCCACTGTATAAATTAAAACTTTTAACATCCTGATTATATTACATTTTAAATATTAAAATCTTTAAGTATACATTTAAATAACATTAAAGATGTCAAAATCGGATTGTTGGTCGGGTTCAAGACGAATCCGATATTGACCCGCCATTATTTGACACGACCAGAATTAGACCCATTTTTATAAAAAGGTTAGAAATGTCAATCCGGACCCAACCCGTTGGATTTTCGGGTTGACCCGACCCAACACAAAACCGGGAACATGTCCTATCCACGATGTGATTTGATGAAAGAAGCATGTGAATGGAAAAAAATGGTTATTTTTGCAACAAGTTCCCTTCCTTTCGTTGGTGTCGGCGTCATTACTGCTGATCCAACTAAAGACAACAAGCTTTCGTGGCTTCTGAGTCGACCAAAAGGAATGTCGTCAAAAAAGGTGAAGAAGTCTTGAAGAAAATAGTGTGAAATGCGTCCCAAATGAAGCCTCAATCATATCTAACCAACCAAAATATTTCATCTTCAATTGGTTGAATAAACAGAGAGGCTCACTTTTCAAAATCTAATTAAATTCAATAATCTTGGATTTTAAAAATTTTGAATTTATTTTAAAATTAATATTATTTAAACGTTAATTAATTATTAATATTATATATTCATCTCAAAATGAATTTAAATATTTTAAAATTTATCATAATTATACTTAGATTATATATCCTCATCCAAATTTTATACATTATCAAAATAATATTGCTGGAAAAAGAATTTTGTTTGGATATTGATATAAATCATATTAAAATGTGTTTAAAAATCGTTAGTTTTTTTTAAAGATTAATGTTGTATATAAAAAAATTATGGTTCCACTGGTCTTCCTAGTACAAGAGGTAAGTTATGATATATATATATATCATCAAGAAGTTCTATACAAAGGAATAAATGGCCAGCCCCTTTTCAACAAGAACAGCTCCCTAAGAAATAAGGTTTCTATTTATAATTTTTACAAATAGCTAAGCTAGTGCCATTGTACTGACCTAGGTAGTGTTGCGACGCTATTGAATTGACATGTTAGTTCATTAGTCATCATATCAATTCGCTAGTTCAGTCGTCAGTAACTGTCACCCGCCATGGCGCTGTGACGATTTGGCACTATAGCGCTTGGTCCTGGCACTGTGACACTCCTTTTTTAGCGCTTCTACGCCTTATAGCATTGTAGTGTTGCCTTATAGTGCTCTAGTATTGAGGATAAGCATAGTTTTGTGGTGCTCTATCTATGGCGCCGCGAGACTCTTTCAATTATAAAATATGTTTATTCGTTGCTACACAAATTGATAAATTAAGATAACTTTTTTTTTTTTTTTTTTGTGAAAATAAGTATAATTTGGATTATAAACTTTGAAAGATTAATTTTTTTTTTACTTGTCCTCAAGTAATTGATATCGTAATTGAATTAAAATCAAAATTTCTTTTGCAAAAATATGATATTTGGAAATTATAAAATCAATAATTTAAGTATTTATACACTAACATAGCTTGTAAAATTTTTCAGTAAAATAATTCATAATGACCTATTTTTAATTTTTAATTGATATTCCTTATAAATAAAACTCCAAAGAGTGTATATGATAGTTTTGACTGACTTACTTAGGGCTAATGATTTTTGGAATAAATGAAATTAACATATTTAGTTAATTCATTAATCATACTATAAGCTTTATTTAAGTATTTTGATTCTAATAATTTTTCTTAGAAGTATATAAGTGGGGCTAGACATTTCATGCATCAATTTTTAATAGTCCAGTATTTAACTTTTTTTGTTTTCAACTTTTTTTTTCTTTTTGTTTTTCTCTGTCTTTTGAATTGGGTAAGTATCTTATAATAATTTTTAATATATTTTTTTTTTACAGCTAAAAAGTTGCTTTAGAAAACAGAAAAAATTACCCCAAATAACACTAAAATCTTCATAAAAGACTTGAGATCAAATTCTACTTGTTTAGGCTTCCCATTTAGGATTCATTTGAATAATTTTTTACTACTATTGTTTTGTACTTTCAATAAAAATTTATATTAAAAAAGATATTCCAAAAAAACCTAAATGAAACTAACACCAATAGGTCCCTGCAAGGAGTAATTATTGTGTCCGGACATCGAACGCGTCCAGAGACCAATAACAGAGCGCAACTAATCTCCTTGCCCGAATCCTTACTCACACAATCATCCATTTCTTTTGAATCCACCTGTTTCACAGGAATCTCCACAAAACAATTTAAAGACTTAACACCACCAGCATCACTCCCACCCTGCTCCACAGTAACAGAAACAAAACCATCGGCATCACCACCCTCCTTCTCAAGCAACATAACATTATCATTGGGTTTCACCGCATCCTGAACAGGCAAAACAACAGAATTTTCAACATTCACAGCCCCATGACCTACCTCCGGCACCAGCAAAACCGAAGAATCCACAAGAATTTCCTGACGAACATTCCCATCCAACACCTCAGGAACAAAAGGTAATGCATAAGGAGAGAAAACAAATTCATCCGTAGCAACAATAGCACCTTTACCATTAATCACGCCACTGTTTCAACCAAAGTATCAGGAGGAATTTCAACAATAGAAGAGCAACCCGCATGAACAACCGGGGGCACAACCTCCTCCACAGCCTCAGAAACCTCTGCAAGACCAATAACCCCATTATCCTTAATGCTTTTATCGCCATTCACAACTCCTAAGTGAGAAACATTTTCAACATTCCCAGCAGCAATAGGAACACCGGCTAAATTCACAGAATTGCACTTCCCAGTAGTATGGCCTAGACTTTTACAAACACCACAAAATTGTGGAAACTCATCTAGAATCACCTCTTGGACATACCCTAACGACTCCGAGCCCAACCAGACATGCTTAGGATAAGTTTTAGTAACATCTAATTCAACTAAAACTCGAGCATTCGACGGACGAGAGCCAACCGACGTAGCTTCGTCGATTTTCAGCGGTTTGCCGAATAATTCCCCCAGCCCAAACAGTATCCTCGGAGCGAAGAAATGTGGACGAAGTTTAGGAAAAGAGATCCAGATTGGAATGATCGGCGACTCGGCACCGATATCCAACGACGGTGACCATTTCGTAATTTTCATAAAACAGTTAACAACTAAGTAAGAACGATGGCAAAAAATTCTACAATAATCTAAGTCATTATCCAATTTGATCAAAATATGGGTAGAATCAAGAACTGTGACAGACACCTCTCCAATCAACTTCAACTTAAAAAAAAAAATTCGGATAGCTTCAAGAGAGGGACGCTTCGTAGGGAAAAAACCAACCAGAGAAAACCTAAAAGGTTCCGCCAAAGC